ATGTACCTGACAGAATGGAACCGACACGTAGAAATTCCAGCATAAAAGTCAAAGATTAAGTTTTTCATTTTATTTTGAACTCCAGAGGGCTCTTTGCATTAAGAAGTCCTTTCTTTACATCATACCACATCCTTGATTTATGTCTATACCTGTATAATGCTATCCTGTTCCCATCTGCATTCATCTACTTTCTTCTGAAGTTCACTTTCCTGCTGGGACAGTCGGAGTTTATGGACATCCCAGAGGGCCATGGCCTCCTGAAAATAGCTGTACAAGCCTTAACAGTGCTGCTCATGCTCTTTAGAGAGACTTTAAGGAGATGGCTAAAGAAAAATATTTAAGTGACTAAGTTATTTTTAAACTGCTGGAAGGTGAAATGAAGGAATAAGAGGATATGTAACATGACAAAAGGCTGCCTGGAAGTACACTGTCAGTATTCAACACAGTGAGAGGAAAAAGCCATCCAAGTAAACTGGATAAAAACGTGGATTTTTATTCTACAAGCTGAGAGTATCAAAACTTCTGCTTATTCTTCTGATACTGTAAAGCACAGAATCACCAAGTTCTGCCATCTATCATTTTAGGAATGACTGCCCAGTCATTTTCTTGTACAGAATAATAAAAGATGAGACTGAAAGAAATTTGGGAGATCATTTAAACCTATTCCTCTGCCTCTAGGCAGGTTGGGCTACACAAAATTCATCCCTGACATATATATTTATATTACAAATATAAATTATGATATAAATATATTTATGTTACAAATGTAAACCACATCATTACGAACTCTTCTCCTTGAATCACACCAAGCTTCTTTTCTTTGTGGTGTTCACTCACACCGTGGATCTCATTCTAGTGTGACATCAAGAGCCTCAGATGCAGATGGCACTGCAGGTGGGAGGGCAGAAAGAACAGACTAATACCAGGGAGTAGTAAAAATACATGTGATAAACGTACATCCATATGCTCCAGTTCTTCTTCGAGCCTACGTTCTAGTTTCTCAGTCATGTGAAGCATGTCAGAGTGCACAATTTCAACATCTTTTACCGTGTAAACATTCATATCCAGCAGGCTCATCTAAACAAAAAAATGCCAAGTTATTGACATGCATATAACAAAAACTGTGTGGCTTTTAGCGAGTATGGGTTAACAACTGCTGGTGTTTTTTCTTGTGAGGGACAGAGAAAGATTCAACCCCCCATATCTCACATTCTGGAAACAGTACAATACTATTGGAGGTAAGGAAAGAAATGGAGTCAGAGAGGTGGAATTTCTTTCCCAAAAGAAGACACTCAGCACAAAGGCTGAGTGTCCTTGCATCCTCCACATAAATGTAGGACAATACTTCCTTCATTACTGCCATTTGTTACGGCTTTTACACATTTCAAGTACAAATACCACAGCAACTTCTCTAATGGAATAAGACAGAGGTTAAAAAGTAATTTCACTTGTTGTCTCAATGTCTGGTGGATCCTCAAACATTTTTTACTGTAGTGACACTGTACCATCAACAATCCTTCCAAGAAGTCCCAAAGCTGTGACGCTCACCTTGCAGACCTGCACTTTTTCCTGACATTTGCCCAGGACCAGCTCATACTTGCTGCGCATTTTCTTCACGCACTCTGCATTGTGGGTGTCTGGAGAACATGGAGCAGACCACAGTCAGCATTCCTGTATTTCCCAGTGCAGTGTGAAATGGAAATGTGACAGAAGCCCTGTGCTGAATCTCAGCACAGGAACAGATCCCAGTGGGCCTGCACTTGTGCGACACAACCAATCAATTACAGAAGATTTTTTAATACAAATCTGTTTATCATTATGCTTAAAAGTAGCAAGTTACTTACAATTGCTACCAACTTCTTTGCTACTATACAGGCTACAAATATCAGAACAGGATGTGCTCTGGAGTAAAAGAAGGTAGACACACAGAGGGAAGGCACTGTATAGGACTCAGAGAAGGACAACATCTCCAACACTTTTCCTCTCCTTCTCCAAAAGGTAAAAAGGAGTATTTTTGTACGACTAAGAACTGCTCCATGTCAAAATTAACCTTCTGTCTCCCCCAGATTAATTCTAACCAAGACAGTTCCTGCTAGATCTCACCATGCACAAGTGCCTGTGCTGGCCAAAGGGAGGTGATGCCCTCAGAAAACTTCTTTGGGTCCTACTGCCAGCTGAAACCAACTGAGAAGGTATGTGAAAACACATGGAACAAAGAAAAGAGCAAACACGCACTTTCAAAGCAACTGCCTGCTTCGTTGCTGCCTGGAAATAAAAGAAAGAATTGCCTGAATTCCAGATTGTTTTTATGATTTCCCAACTTACCTAAACTTTGGTTTAAATTCTCCACAGTTCTGTACCATTCATTTATCTCAGACTTCATGTCTGTTGGAGGCAACAAGGTGCTATCAAAATAGGAAACAAGAGTCAAGTATCTTAACATATAAACCAGTCAGTTGTTAAAAGATAAAATTATCAGAGTTCCCATGCACTTTATTTTATTTACTGCCATCTCAGCAATGAAAATAAACCAAGGAGACTGCTGTTGTTCAAGGCCTTGAACAACTTCGTGGCACAAGCTAATTGTAAGGTCCATTGTGCTTTTTAGCAAGTCAGCTTGATATTCCCTATGATCAGAGCTGAGTTCTTCCTTAGTTTTGCTACATATTGCAAGATAGATACATCTACCCTTGAAACACAATGGTAGAGGTCATACATAGGGGTGAGAAAGATGATGATGGGAGGAAGATGATGTGGGCAGGAGTCGCTGGCCCCTTGCCCTACAGCAGGGCATGCACAGACTGTTGCTATCAGGTGATGAACAGGCANTGTGATGTCACAGAGGAGGATGTGATGTCATAGGAGAGTTGTGATGTCACAGAGGAGGATGTGTTGTCATAGGAGACATGCGATGTCACAGCTGTGCTGTGATGTCACAGAGGTGGATGTGATGTCATAGGAGGCATGGAATGTCTCAGAAGACGATGTGGTGTCAAAGAGGAGGATGTGATGTCATAGGAGACGTGCGAAGTCTCAGAAGAGGATGTGGTGTCACAGGGGAGCTGTGATGTCACAGGGGAGGATGTGATGTCATAAGAGATATGCGGGGTCACGGAGGAGAATGTGATGTCATGGAGGAGGATGTTATGTAACATGGAGCTGTGATGTCACAGATGACGATGTGATGTCACAGAGGAGGATGTAATGTTACCAAAGAGGATGTGATGTCATAGGAGATATGCGATTTCACAGGGTGGATCTGATGTCACAGAAGAGGATGTGATGTCATAGGAGGCATGCGATGTCACAGAGGTGGATGGGATGTCACGGGGGAGCTGTGATGTCACAGAGGAGGATGTGATGAAACAGGAAATATGTGATGTCACGGGGGGATGTGATATCACAGAGGAGGATGGGATGTCATAGGAGGCATGGAATGTCTCAGAAGAGGACTTGATGTCTCAGAGGAGGATGTGATGTCACAGAGGAGGATGTGATGTCATAGGTGACATGCGATGTCACAGAGGAGGATGTGACGTCACAGATGACGATGTGATGTCACAGAGGAGGATGTGATGTCACAGAGGAGGATGTGATGTCACAGGGGAGGATGTGTTGTCACAGGGAGTTCTTATGTCACAGAGGAGCATGTGATGTCAGAGAGGAGGATGTGATGTTACAGAAGAGGATGTGGTGTCATAGGAGGCAAGAGATATCACAGAGGAGGATGTGATGTCACAGGAAAGATGTGATGTCACAGAGAAGGATGTGATGTCCACCAATGGATGTGATTTCACAGACGAGTATGTTATGTCACAGAGGAGGATGTGATGTCACAGGGCAGCTGATATGTCACACTGGAGGATATGATGTCACAGGGCACCTGATATGTCGCACTGGACGATGTGTTGTCACAGGGCAGATGATATGTCACACTGGAGGATGTGATGTCACAGAAGAGGGTGTGATGTCACAGAGGAGAATGTGATGTCATAGGAGATATGCGATGTCACAGAGAGGATGTGATGTCACAGAGGAGGATGTGATGTCATAGGAGACATGCGATTTCACAGGGGAGCTGTGATGTCATAGAGGAGGATGTGATGTCATAGGAGGCATGCGATGTTAGAGGGAAGCTGTGATGTCACAGAGGAGGATCTGATGTCATAGGAGATATGCGATGTCACAGAGAGGATGTGATGTCACAGAGGAGGATGTGATGTCATAGGAGACATGCAATTTCACAGGGGAGCTGTGATGTCATAGAAGAGGATGTGATGTCATAGGAGGCATGC